ACAAATAATGAATTAATCCACAAATTGCAAATTTTCACTAAATCAAGGGCAATAACTCTACAAATAATGAATTAATCCACAAGTTGCAAATTTTCACTAAATCAAGGGCAATAACTCTACATATAATGAATTAATCCACAAATAGCAAATTTTAACTAAATCAAGGGCAATAACGTAATGAATTTATACACAAATAGCATATTTTCACTAAATCAAGGGCAATAACTCTATAAATAATGAATAAATCCAGCATCTGGAATAGCAAATTTTCACTAAATCAAGGGCAATAACTCTACAAATAATGAATTAATCCACAAATTTCAAATTGTCACTAAATCAAGGGCAATAACTCAACAAAATAATGAATTAATCCAAAAATTGCAAATTTTTTACTAAATCAATGGCAATAACTCTATATATAATGAATTAATCCACAAATAGCAAATTTTAACTAAATCGAGGGCAGTAACTTTACAAATAATGAATTTATACACAAATAGCATATTTTCACTAAATCAAGGACAATAACTCTACAAATAATGAATTAATCACATGCTGATCAACATTCCTGTACATTTTGTTGAAACTAGCTCAAGCGCTTTTAGAGCTACATGACACAAAATTAGAACAGACTCACAGATCGATTGACAGACAGATGGACAAGGGCAAATTTAAATCCACCATAGTGAGGGCGCAAAAATATAGATCTACATCTGTACAATTTTTTCAATAACTAAACATACAGAATATATTCAGATAAGTTGTTGTTTTTTTTCACATCAAATTATTATCTTAACTTTAAAAAAAAGAAGTATTTATTGTTATTTCATGATTTGATTGACAAAATAGAATAAAACATGGTAACCAGTAAAACTAACTAAAAACCATTAAAAAGCATATATTTACACAAAAATATACAGAAGGCAGTCATAGCAGACTTAAATTCTCTGCCACTCAGGATAAAATTTTGAAAAAAAAAAGAACTGGCACTTTGACATTCCAATGCTTGTGAAAGGGCTTTAACGTTAAAGATGTACTATACTCATCCTTGATTAAATCATTTTAATCACAGAAATTTATTGAAATTAATGAAATTCTTACTGAATATGTCTAATTAGAATAAAAGAATTAATAAACTATGCATGGGAAGCTGCGTTGCCTTTTACGGATCAAGTAAAGGTGGTCCTTTTTTTAGAAAAAAAAAAGCTGCCACTTTTTTAATGACACTTTATATATGTATTCATATTGTGATCACCTGTTGTGTTAATAACTATAACCATAACATATCTACTTTGTGTGACAACATGTTTATCATATATTTACATAGAGACTTATGATGTGGCAATTAACAATATGTTCTAATATCAAATTTGAGCATAGAATATCTTTCAAAGCTTCAAGCCAGTAACATTTTTTTTTCAATTTTGATTTTTTTGGGCGTTCTTTAAGGATTCTATTTTTCTGTATTTTACTAGTATGACAGATATTCATCAGTAAAATTTCAAGCTGTTATATTTCAATAATATTTTGAGTTATTGAACAAAAAAATAATATATTCATATTATAAAATGGAGAGTTGACATTCTTGTCAACTGCATAATCATTTAATGGTTTCAAATTAATAAACCTAAAGTTTTGATGAATGAAGTTCTGAACAAAAACAGAAACATTACAACATTCAACATGAAAATTGTAACAAAATGACAAAGCATGAAAAAATTCAAAGTGCAATAATAAAAAAAATATAATAAAATACAAATGGAAAATTATTATTCTTGTGCAATAAACCACTTCTGAATATGATTTTTTCACCTATTGATATCTCAAATATATATTTTGTGCTATACATAGAAGACAAACTTTAAATACAGATAATGGATGGTTTCAAAAGAAAAAGGACAATAACTAACCATTTAAGAGCCGGTTGAATCGGATGATGCTCCCTGAATAGGTTTTTATCAAGAAAAGTATAAATATATTCAATGAGATCTATCTACCTACAAAGTTTCTTGTTGATACTTAATATTTGTTTGTTAATGTTTCAGAGTTATGTCCCGGAAAAGGTTTTATGTTATGGTTCTTTTGCACTGCACTTCTTCCCAATGAAATCTATCTACCTACAAAATTTAATGTTGATATCTCTTAAAGTTTTCAGACAAAGTTCAATATTTAAAAATGAACAAAAGGCAATAACTCAAAACTCAGACAAGGAAGAGTTTTGGTTCTTTTGCACTGCACTTCTACCCAATGAAATCTATCTTTCTACAAAATTGAATGTTGATATCTCTTATAGTTTTCAGAGTTATGGTATAGACAAAGTTCAATGTTTTAAAATGAACAAAGGGCAATAACTCCAAAATTAGACAAGGAAGAGTTATGGTTCTTTTGCACTGCACTTCTACCCAATGAAATATATCTACCTAAAATATCTTTTGTTGTTTCAAAGTTAAGTACCAGACAAAAAAAGCGGACGGACAGACGGAGCAGCAACTATATGCTCACCCTTCGGGGAGCATATAAAATATGATAGGTAGAATTACCATTTCTGTGTACTCAGCACTCTTTCTAAATGAATCATATCAAACAATGAGGTTTCAAAAAAATATTTGATACAGTTACAGTATTTCAAAAACATTTAGCGTTACACTCAAGATAAAAATTAGGGACACTTTTTTTTATAAACATCTGGAGGCATGTTATTTAAATGCTTTCTAGTATTAAATACAAAAAGCAAAAGAATTTATTTGACATTATATACAGATATAAACAGAAATCTATATCATTAAATTGAAAAAAAGTTACTAAAGTCTGCTAATATTGTTATCAAATTTATCTAAAAATTGTACAATATTCTTAAGCGCTCCTTATCTACGAGACATTCAGCTTGAATATGACATCACTCCTCAAACAATGACTATTTACAAATAAAATAAAACATACACTAGCTAAAAATAAAACAATGGTAACTCAAATATACAATTTAATGAAATAATATTGCATGTTTGAAACGTCACTTTTCATTGGATAATCACGACATTTATATATACTATTTACACCTCTCTGTCAATTAATGAACTATCTATTTCTCTGTAATAAAGGAATTTTGCTGTATTATAAATTCATTATAAGATTACTTATAGGTTATATAGCCATATTTAAACAGTTATTTAATCTTCACATATAAGCTTAGGTTATATGTGCAAACAGCCGTAACAAATTCAGAATCTTTATAACTAAAAATATACACTTCAAATGCATATTACCATTAATTGTTTCAAAGCAAAGGGAGCAAGAGAGCAATATTATTATTTGGTGATAAAGACATATAACATGTTATATGGCCATGCATGAAATGTTGTTTGTTATATAACCATCATTTGGTGACTCGGGTTATATACTTCACTTCAAAAACTTTTTACATTTTACAAAACGATACATTTCTAATACCCTTAAGGCAAATAAACAAAAAAAGATAAACACGATCACAAGGAAAGGCGGCGTTCATAAACGCAACCCTCATACACAGCAAACACTGCGCTATACTTACAAGGCACATTATGCCTCAGAAAATAAATATTCTCCAGAAAAGTCAAGCATTTCTTAAATAATGTTTTGATAATGTTTCAAGAGCATGTTAATGTTTAACAAGTGAAAATAGCACTGAACCTGCAGTAATGTGTATTACAGGTAACAAATTATAAACAAGAAATGTCGAACGACATATATGCCCCCTTTTCTAGCCCTTGACTCATATAATTGGTAATTTTGTTATAGAAACTTGCCATAAATGGTTACATGGAAATGTTCAATTATGGAAAAAAATAATGAAGACTTTGTGATAAATAGTTTGCAAGATAATGAGAAAGCCCCTGTGACCTTGACCTTTGAACTAGTGACACAAAACCAATTGGGGTCATCTAATTGTTATGACCAATCAATATTAGAAATATGAAAACTTTGTGATAAATGGCTTTCAAGATAATGAGCGGAAAACATACTAACATTCAAGAACCCTGTGACATTGACTTATTGACCCCAAAATCAATAAGGGTCACTTACTAGTTATGACCATCAGTATGTGAAATATGAAGAATTTGTAACAAATAGATGTCAAGATAATAAGGTGACTCCAGAATGAATAGGGTTCATCTATTAGTTATGACCAATCACTAAGTAAAATATGACGAATTTGTGATAAATGCTTTTCAAGATAATCAGCGGAAACCATTTTGACATTTAAGGCCCCTGTGACTTAAAATTAATAGGGGTCTTCAACTAGTTATGGCCAATCACTATGTGAAATATGAAGACTCTGTGAAAAACAGTTGTCAAGATATTCAGCGGAAACTATGTGGTCTAACGACGGACAGACCAACAGACAGACTGACATTAGCAAAACAATATACCCACTCTTCTTCGGAGGGGGCATTACACTTTAAGTAGTATTTTGATTTCCCTACTAATTTTGATTCAATTTAATTATAATTGCCAGAACTAAAAAATCAACATCACTATTTTTAAATTATGTATATGGCAAACAGGTTTATTTTTGGAAACTTTTTTCACAATATAAATAAAACTGGCATAATTTCTGAAGCATAATGTGCCTTTAATAAAAAAATACTTAACAATTCTTGTAATATAAAATTATACTTAAATTGCATAAACAGATTTATACATGTACCGTATATCTAATTATTAAATTAAATTATTTAACAAGACCTTTTTTACATAAAAGATTTTTTCGAAGGACTGAAATATTTGACAGTGGTCTTGGTGTAATTGTTATTAAGATTCAAATTCTGATTGTACAAAACACATACAAGATAACTGTGTAATGCAAAAGTTTTCTTTTTTGTTTCCTTCCATTAAGCCAGGAACCAGAAAGTTATTCAATGTATTGGCAAGTAATGGTGGTTTAGGGATTTTTCTGCTGCTGTTAATCACATATTTATTTGACATATGTCCCCGTACAGCCAGGTATCAGGTGTGAAATCATAAGATTGAACTATTTAAAAACTTTAACATCTTTGTCGTTCAGAACATCCCGCTGATAATCATCCGGAGATTGATGGATAAAAAGCCAAACAGTTGTGATTGTCCTCATTGTCCCTGTAGATTTATTATAGCTGATTTTCTGAAATAAAGGAAAGCAAGAAGTCACAATTATAACATCATGAAGCAGGAATTTCCTATTCTAACACTATTACAGTGTATTTATATGTGTTTTGAATATACAGATTTTTTTCTTGTCTATTTTCAAGCTAACCAATCCAAATTACTTAAATTGACTTGTCAATCATTCAATTTGGACAGAACCATTCACCATACATGTATTATGGAAAACATTGAAATATTAATGTACATGCAGGCTGATGGGTATAGAATATGTTTCCGCCAGGAGGCTTAAAGTTAATGAGTCCAGAGAGTAAACAAGTAGATTTCAAATGAAAAAAAATGAGCCGCGTCACGACAAAACCAACGTAATGCGTTTGCGACCAGCATGGATCCAGACCAGCCTGCGCATCCGCGCAGTCTGATCAGGATCCATGCATTTCGCTGTTAGTTTCTCCACTTGTAATAGAGTAGGTAAGCGAACAGCATACTGGTCTCAAACCCACTATGTTGGTTTTGTCATGACGCGGCTCAAATGTTATTGTAATTTAAGTAAGATCTGCAAACACATCCGATATAATATTGTGATTTGCGACTGATTGTATTCTTTGACATAAAAGAAATGAATGTATTGTTGATACTTTTCTGTCAATCAATTACTGATACAGGATTGAAATAAAATCGATACTTTTGCCTCATCAATGAAAGGTTTAAAAATGATAAAATTAGCAAAGAATATAAACATTAAAATGGGCATGTCTAAAACTATACCGGCGGTAACCGTCGCTACTTGATGAACTTTATTTATTTTGTTAATTTATGATGGTTTTTATGAGGGCTTTTATTTGAACAAATTTGGTTGACACTCACAAGAAGATGTTTCATGCTTTAATATCTAAAATCTAGCTATTTGGGTTTTAAAAGAAGATTTTTAAGTTTTTACTATATACAAATAAGGAAATCAATGACCCCCAGGGCGGGGCAATTTTGACCCCAGGGCATTTATTTTAACCGGACGGACGACGAACGGATGGACGCCGGACGAAAAGCGATCACAAAAGCCTACCATATCACTTTGTGACAGGTGAGCTAAAAAGTTAAAGCCATACAATATATATATATACACAATTGAAGTTTATACCTTATTATTAAGAAAGAAAGAACTGATGGTAAAGAAATTAATACTGCACAATGACTTTAATTTGAAATATGTATACCGACGTAGATGAACCCAACTTTGGGATGATTAGGACTAGGACAACTCTTGATAAAATTTGTACAGTCCATTAGGAAGTCCCTGAGATCAACAGAAAACTGAGCATGAATGCAGTATGCATTGATATACAGTACAAATAATAATTTAATACATTGGCAGACAGTCATCATAGGGAAATCATGTACCATGTAAAAGGGTACCAAGGTGAACTATGGATACATTTTACTCGACATATCAATTTGTCATTGATATTTACTATTTAGTATAAATACGATATCGATATAATCGTCGATATGCTTTTTAACAAAGGCCTCCTTATCCCTTCTAGAATTGTGGGAATTATGCATTTTATCTTTGCATATTTTCACTGAGATTATCTTCAAGATTCTATTGTACAAGATATGTTTGTAAAGCATCTATGTCTCCTACTGGCAGCCAATTAGTCATGTTGTCAGGTCATTTTTACATTGACTTTTGACCTAGTGACCCCATACTGGCATGTATATAGAAATCATCTACTAGCCCAGGCAAATGCACCTGGTATAATTTATAGCCAAGGGCCTATTAGTTGTCAAGTAATTCAGGTTGGAATCTGTTTTGAAGAACAATATAAATATGATCTTGACCTTTGATCCCTTGACCCCAAAATCAATAGGAATCTTCTTCTGGCCAAAACCGAAGCAGTTGTGGACATTAAGGACCAGGGAACAATAAGATGCCAAGTTATTAATCGTAAACGATTTTGACATTCAATGTGAGCTTGAACTCTGACCTAAAAACAATTGGGGTCATCTGCAGGTCATAACTAATCTCCATACCAAGTTAGCAGCGTTCTTAAGTTATTGACTGGCAACGGATTTGACTACGACCGACTGAAAGAAGAACCAACCGATTGATAAGTGTGATGCAATAAATCACTTAGTGCAATGTACCCCACTTCTTCTAATGTTAAAGGCACATTATGCCTCAGAAAGGAAAAAATCGTTAGTTAGGGAAAACAAGGGTTTGTTTCTGCTAACTCACAGTTTAAAAACTTGTTAGATTCTTTTTATTCGAAGAAAGTAGTGTTGAATGTGAAATAACATGTCCAAAAAGTGGCAATTGAATGTAAACAAAGTAGTATTTTGACATCCATACAAAATACTATATCAGTTTTATTGTTCTCAATGCAAAAAAACACAATAAGCAAAAGGTGATATAGGTCATTTGCTAATGGGTAACTTGTTGAAAATTTAAACGGAACACCAGAAATAGACAGCTATTGAGACTTTATTTAATGAAAGCATATCAGGGCATAATGGGCCTTTAATTTACATATACAGTTTATTATGCTGTCCATCATAAAGATATTTGAAAATGCTTACCAAGACAAGAGGAAGTTTTTCAAAAAAATCTCTACAAATTGATCTATCATCACACAATGCTCCATATAAAATACGACAGGAGATTCTGCACAACAAAGAATCTGAAATTTTGATCCATTAGGCCACTGAAACAATAAATAACATAACATTTTGACGAAATTTTAAAATTCTTATTTAGTTCAATATTTTACTTACCAGTACATGTGTGGTATACTGATTCCCATGATACATAAGTAATATTACCGGCGGCAGAATTATTTAATAACTGCCGTTAAGAAATGTGACATCATGATTTAAAACTCTTGCCTACTTGAATAAATGTTTTACGTTTTCTATTGAATAGGTATCAAAATACCCTTTTGTAAATATGTCAATCGGACAAATTTGCAACAGTGAAAAAAATTATGACTTTTACATCGCAAACACATATAAATAAACAAGAGGAACTCAAAAGGGTTGAGGTGTCCAAGTAGGAAGACATTCCATTAAGAAACAAGAGCTACCGTTTGGACTAAGTGAGCATGCTCGATTATTCTCAGTGCTTGATTGTTAAAGAGCATAGATAATTTATTCAAAACAATATTTTTATTTTAAAGTTTAAAACGGGCCAAACATTTTTCAAATCCATACCTTGGAGAGTGACCTATTATGCTCTCAAACATGTGTATAAAATTTCAACTTGTTTCAAAGCCATATGTCAGTGGACTTCACATATAGATTTGAGGTGGTATACAAATCTTAATGTAAATTTTAAGTCCAAAAAGTGGCATAATTCTGTTAAATTGCTTGAAAGAATTTCTTCTTCATGTCTACAGTTTGGGGCATGATGGTGAACAAGTCTGCAAAGTTTCAAAAACCATATGTCAATGTACTTTGAAAATATTTGAGGTGGTATGCAAACTTTAACATAAATTCCAAGTCGAAAAAACGGCATAATTTTGTCATAATTCTTGTTAGAGACCACCTCCTGTCTACATATTGGCGGAATGATGGTACATAAGTCTGCATAGTTTCAAAGCCATATGTCAATGTATTTTGTATATATTTGAGGTGGTACGCAAAATTTTAATGTAAATTCTAAGTCGAAAAATGGGCATAAATCTGTCAAAATGCTTGAAAGATTTATCTCCTCTTGTCGACAGGTTGGAAACATGATGGCAAACAAGTCTACAAAGTTTCAAAACCATATATCAATGGACGTTGAAAATATTTAAGGTGGTACGCACATTTTAATGTAAATTCTAAGTCGAAAAAGGGGCATAATTCTGTCGAAATGCTTGAAAGATTTACCTTCTCCTGTCTACAGGTTGGGGGCATGATGGCAAACAAGTCTACATAGTTTCAAAACCCTATGTCAATGGACTTGAAAATATTAAAGGTAGTAGGCCTACCCATATTTTAATGAAAATTAATTCTACGTCGAAAAATGGGCATAATCCTGTCAAAATTTTGGAAAGAGGTACCTCCTCCTGTCTACAGGTTGGGGGCATGATGGCAAACAATTGTGCAAAGTTACAAAACCATATGTCAATGGACTTTGAAAATATTTGAGGTAGTACGTACATTTTAATGTAAATTCTAAGTAAAAAAGGGTACATAATTCTGTCAAACTGCTTAAAAGAGTTACCTCCTCCTGTCTACAGGTTAGTGGCATGATGGCAAACAAATCTACAAAGTTAAGTTTCAAAGCCATATGTCAATGGACTTTGAAAATATTTGAGGTAACAGTTATTTAACAAGTGTCTTAATTGTCTTAATTGACTTAGTTAATTAAAGGTTTTATTTTAACAATAAAGTCTACTTTAAAAATAAAAAAAATTATGGGAAAATATTAAAAGTGGAATTATTTATTATGATATAAAGTTTTTTTTATTTATCTAATTAAAAGAAAATCTTATAATATAGATCTAATTTAATTTGAATAATCTATTTCAATACTTAGATATCTAAAATGAAATAATGTAAAAAAAATAAAAAATTCAATATAAAATCTCTTACCTGTAAAATATTTCCAAATCCTAATTCCAAGTTAAATCCATTAAGTTCCGGTAAAAAAAAACTTCCATGAATTATTTCTCCTCTTAAAATGATTTTATTTATTTATTTATAAACAACTGTCACTTAATTAAACTTTAAACAGAAATAAAAGTTTGTAAATTAAATGATCAAACTATACAGTACATGTATAAGGTAGAAGAAGCCGCCAATTTATTTTAAATGTCCATTTTTAAATTGTTTTCATTTAAAATTATTGAAGTCATTTCTTTAGTCATTTATTTTATAATGTTTGTCCTTGTTTATTCATTGCTTGGTTTCCTTGTTTTGAACTCAAAACAGAAGCAGTCGTGTATCACATAAAAAGTTTGTGATCTCCGAATATTTTCTATAACACGTTGATATTCTGTCCACGGTGTTATGGCGGACATATTTACTGTAACTGACTGCGGCAGATTTTCCAACACGGTAATAAAGTTCTGTAAACTTTCTGCAGACATTTGAATCAACCCATACCTCACACGTTTAATATTCAACATGTCACGTGACAGTAATAATGAACTTTCATCATCTAGATTGATTCTCCACAACTTAACATAAACTAATGACGGCGTTGATATATTTAATTGTAGCCTCCCAGGTAAACCCCGCAAGTGTAACTTTGATAGAGTTGAATGTTTAGACAAGTCCAAGTTCATCAATCTCTTACAATCATGGTCGCCATGTTCTTTACAGCATAACTCGTTCAATATTAACTCTTTCATTGATTTTTGACCGGAGATAAAATTGTAAAATGTTTCCAATATTTTGTGAGATAACGTTAAGCCGTCAATATATAAATATTGTATGTTTTGTACTCGCGCTAAATTTTCACTCGGATTTTCTTCATCATTTGTCCATTTACCCAACCACAAAGTAACGTACTGTAAACTGGGAAAAAATATCCGGCTTATCTCAGCCTCCTTCGTCCTGTTACCACAATAGTAAAGTTTCTGTATATGACTGAGATCTGTGAGAGAGAACAAATATATAATTTCACGTAGACTGCTGAAAGAAGATATGGTGTCTATATAAAGTGATTTTATGTTGGTTTTATTTTGTTTTAATAAACGTTGTAACTGCTCACTGTCCTCGGTGTCGTCAATGAAGAAATCTTGTAAACATAATTGAATATTTTCACTTTCAGGCATTTCTTGTAAACACGACATGAACATTTCCTGTATGTTATACAATGGATTATTGTACATGTTCTCGCCACCTGTCCTAGTTCTATAGTCGCGTGTTTCCTCGTCTTCATTTATCACAGACATCAAATCATTTGATATTTCACACATCCGGTCAGCATTCATTCCACTTATAAATTCACAAATTTTTGACATGTCCAGAATATCTTGAACAGTTCTACATTTTTCTACAACAGTTTTCTGCGCGTCACTTTGAGAACTTATAAATATGGCGGCAAAGAATTCTTGCACTGTTTTGTGAGAAAACGATACTTTAATAATTTCTTTAATTAAAGTTTTACTTCTACTTTCTGACAGTATTCCTGAGAGAAGACTTAATTTCATGTCGTCTGCTTTGAGATATATATCAGCAACCGTTCTATCAAATACCAGCGTGTTTTCTCTGTTTTTGTTAAATAATGTTTGGTAAGCTAGTTCTGCTAATGATGTTATAAGACTATAAAACTTTTTACAAAATTCATGACGTTTGAAGTAATCTGGAATTTCACTGGCAGACGATTCACGGGATGGTTGAACTTTCGGGTGTTTTTTTGACGTTCTCAATAATAGAAATTCAATGATATTGGTGTAAATTTCATGTTTTGAATTTCCTATAGGAATGTTGTTGCACCATAGGAAAACTATATACATGAGGAGGAGTGGAATCACTTGCATGTGTTCTAGGCGACGGTCACGTATCACTTCATTAAAGTTCCATATTTTACTGTTCAGTTCTCTATCGTTATGGACACCGGTCATTTTCCTTATAGCATTTTTTTCTAGTTGCTGCGTAGAATCTTCACTTAATTGAACCAATTCTACTTTTTTGTTTATTTGACTTGATTTGAGATTCGCAATTCCGAGCTTCCACGGTCGAGTTGTCGTTAGGATAACACAATTATCACGTACGTACCGATGTGGGATTTTTTCTCTTACTTCGCTACAGCTATTATCAGGATGAGTCCATTCATCAAGACCGTCCAATATAATCAAGCATTTTTCTCTGCGTAAAACTTTATGTATTGATGCAGAAGAAGGCAGTTTCTTAGTTATTTGATGTTCAATCATATCGTCAATGTTACAAACAGAGGTACAGTCTCTTAATAAAACCAAAAATAAGAACTTAAAGTCAAATAACGTCTTTAACTCGTCCTCTTTAAAACAGGCGTAGTTTTCATCGTGACAATGAGCTTGACACCACGTGATTGCAAGATATTTTGAGAAAGCAGTTTTTCCAAAGCCTGCATCAGCTGCTAGATAAATTTCTTGTTGATCTACACTTCCGGTTGAAAGCAAGTCTTTCAAAGACTTGATCCGTGTTCGTTCCTCTTTATGGCAAGTTAGGGACTTCTGTTCTACGTCGACTATATCTGGCATCACATAGAACCCAATTAAAGGTGTCTCTATTTCTTCAAAAAGCGGTGAGAGAGGTATTGAACTACACCTTTTTCTATAAAATTTAATCAGGTCGCCTTGGAGTTCTGAAAAGAGAGAGAAAAAAAATGTTTATCAGTGACAATATTTCTATATAATATATGAATTGTTGGGGTGTTTACTAACATAAATTGTGCATGGTTAGACAATCAGATGATGCATACGGCAAATAAGAAGTAGATATGTAACACTTTATTCAGATGCTATCTTTAACAATGCATAATTATAGCTTAACTTTGTTTTAATAATGGCATAAACTCATTTATCACACACCGTGCCGATTTTGCAACTTCGTAAAAATGGTATTGCACGGCCGTGCATATATGCATATATTTTGACGTGACGTCACTAGCGTTATACAAATATAGTGTTAGCGTTATACTATAGGCGCGTCAATGAAAAATGACCCTTATTTCATTTTAAACGGTCATTATTTTGGAAATGTGATGATAAATAGAATATTAAATTCGTGTAAGTTCATTACTGAATTTACTGCACTCGTTGAATAGAATAATAGTATGCTCGCCAAAGGCTCACATAATATAATTTTATTTAACTCGTGCAATAAATTCAGTATTGAACTTACACTCATTCAATATCCTCTATATACAAAACGAAGTATTTCCATCGTTATAATTAATACAGTAAACATTTTCCTTCTTCATTCTGAACTCAAAGAATTAGTGGGGGAGGGTGTGGACAAGCTAAAGAAGAAAATATTTCTTCTATATTAAACCTCATTTGCATACGCCCTCCTATATTTAATATGACGTCATCCGGTCCATTAATCGCGTACAGACCGGGGGCGGTCCATAATTCTTATGTAGATCGTTTAAACGTAACTTTCACGACGTGTGAATTTCACGACGACACAAACAGACAATAACTGTCAAAATGGCCAGCCGATTCGCCTTTTCATCAGAGACATAGATTTATATCATGTTGATCAAAAGTCATGATTTGTCTTTAATTAAATTATAAAAAAAATTTATACAGTTTTTGAAATTCTTTTAGTCTGGATTTTTTGCCTAGTAACATTAAATATATATTTTGATTAACAACAAGAGCGATCAGTAATCACATGTGTCGCCTCATGATGGCCAATTTCATGTTGGGACAAATTTTGTGACAGACAGACAGACAGACGGACAGTGCACAACTAGACTTGGTACTGATCATTCCTGTAAGTTTGGATAAAATTGCACCAGTAGTTTATGAGGAGTAGTCCGGACAAGGTTTTGCTTATCTGGCAACACACAGAAAAAAAGACCTTTTTATCAAAGGGCCATAACTCAGCCAAAAATCATTCAACCGGAAAACCCGTGCAATATGCGCAAGGACTTGAGCTACAGATCAATCCTGTAAAGTTTCATTGAAATTGCATTAGTGGTATAAGAGAAGTAGTCCGGACAAACTTTAAAAATAAAAATTATTAAAGGGCCATAACTCTGACAAAAATCATTGAACCGGAAAATGCTGACAATATGCACAACTAGACTTGGTACTGATCATTCATGTAAAGTTTGGATGAAATTGCACCAGTAGTTTATGAGGAGTAGTCCGGACAAGCTTTTGTGTCTCTGGCAACACGCAGAAAAAAACACCTTTTTGTCAAAGGGCCATAACTCGGCCAAAAATAATTCAACCAGAAAACCCGTGCAATATGCGCAAGGACTTGAGCTACAGATCAATCCTGTAAAGTTTCATTGAAATTGCATTAGTGGTATAAGAGAAGTAGTCCAGACAAACTTTAAAATTAAAAATTATTAAGGGGCCATGACTCTGACAAAAATCACTGAACCGGAAAATGCTGACAATATGCACAACTAGACTTGGTACTGATCATTCCTGTAAAGTTTGGATGAAATTGCACCAGTAGTTTCTGAGCAGTAGTCCGGACAAGTTTTGTGACGGACAGACAGACAGACAGACAGACGGACGGACAGACAGACAGACAGACAGACAGACAGACAGACAGACAGACAGACAGACAGACAGACGGACAGACAGACGACGGAGAAGTGATCCCTATATGTCGCCACTACTCCGTAGAGGC